ATATATATATATATATATATATATATATATATATATATATTTATGCTGTCAAAACTCACAATCACATTTTAAACAAAAGGTAGGTGGGATAAAGTCTTAAATTACATCCTCAATACAAATGGAGTGTAATCAGAGCCAGAGTCAGACATTTTGGGAAGCATGATCAGTGTTATCAAAAGGGACATGGATGTGCCGTACATGTGTTCACTGCACACAAAGCAACTATTTATTAACAGCCATGCTGATTGGGGATTAGGAGCCAATGTTTTAAATATCAATACATGACAGTTCATCACTTAGAGATGGGCATTTTGCTGCATTTTAGTTATGTTTTAGGAAATTGGTTAAGATTTTTGGGTTGATGTCAAAAGCATTATAATTTTTATCATTTAAAATAATGAGACATGGCTACTAATTAGCATTTTGGTATGTGCAATGATTAGGAATAAGTCTATTTCTTCTCATTCCCTGTGCCTTCAAATAGAGATTACTATGATTGTCACCTTTTTATATATTAAAAAAAATCAGGCACAAAATTGGTTAAGTAACGTAGCCTGGGTCAGACAGCTAATAAAGGGTAGATTTGAATACAGATAATCTTTCACCAAGAGTACATTAAATTAGAGGGCACTAAGACTTGAAGCAAGCAGGAGGAAGGTTTGTGAAAAAGCAGGGAAGGTGGAACTCTCCTCCAGACATGAGATTCTTCTGGGTTGGAATGAGTGTGTGAGTACTATAGTCCTTGTACCCTGGAGATTTGGGCTCAATCCCTAGGGAAGTGCAGGACCCCCCAAAAGAATGGCTGCCTGGCACATTCCTGAGAGCATAACAGATTCGCAAGAGATTCCGGTGAGGATTCTTCTGGCTCTGATAAAGCAGAGCCACCTGACCAGAAGACCCCCATAGTGACAGAAACAGGGAACAAACTAAACTAACTTGTGTGGGCAGAAAATATTGGACCCAAAACACACACTCCATTAATTCCTTGGCTCAGTAAGACCCTCAAGACTTGCATACAATTGCACTGTGGATGTGAGGGCAGCGGGCAAAATTGACTGACGCTAGCTCTTCCATTAGTCCACTGAGTGGATATTTTAGAATTGGAATTAATTTATAGTCAAAAGACACCCACATACATACTCAAAAGAGAATTAGGAGATTAAGATTCATTTTTATTAAAGCTAACTGGGAGACTGTCAAACAGTAATAACTCTCAGACTCCTCAGGTCACCCAAACCAGTGCAGATCACACGCTTTCATTTCCCATCTCTTCACCCAACAGCCCATACCTCACATTTCTGAACCAGTCTGTGCTTTAGCTACAACAAACTTCAATTCTCAATTTCTAACTCAAATTTCATATAGGAATCTAAATAAGTCATAATGAAAACCAGCAGGTCCTGCAGATATAAATACATTTAGTCAAATTATTTAGTACTTGGCTTCCACACCAGACCTTCAACAGTAAAATTTATATCTCAGAAAACAAAGCGCTTGCTACGAGTTCATTCAAAACGTCTCCAGTACACTGCTGGTACGTTAGAAAGAACTGGCTTTGGAGTCAGAGCCTAGGACTATCATTCATAAGGTAAACCTCGTGACATTTTTGCCCCTTGTTTTTCTTATTCATAAACTGGGAGAAATAGAACCTACCACAGGGTTACTGGGAGGGACTGAATAAGAGAATATAGGAAAACATCTGCAATAGGAGGCACTCAGATGTTAGTAGTCTCTTTACTTATAATACCTAGGAGTGAAAGGAACTGAATAGAGCCCTTGTTTCCAAGAAGGGGAAGGGGTGCATTTCTCTAACCACAGAGCATGATACAGGAAGAGAGAGCCAAAGTTCAGAACCATAAAACTTGAAGAGACCTACCAAGTGCCATCCAAATGCTAAATCTGATCCAAGTGTCTGCACTCAATTGGACCATCAAGTAAATGTTCACAAGGATGCTGAATGCTGGTAAAAACGGTAAGAATGGTACCTAAGGAGGAAAAAGGTTTTTAAAATATACTCAATTTGCAAACACATATCCCAAGCTATTTTAACATTGTGGTTGTTAGAAGCCACTGAGTCAGTTCCAGCTCATAGTGACTCTATGCAGAATTAATTTGACATAGATATTTGCACACTGTGTCATTATGCTTACATTCTCATGAAAAGGAAGATATGAATAAAGACCATTCTCATACTAAACAGAGCACCACATTCACACTCTTTCCAGTAACCTCAGGCAGCAGGGTATTCATCAAGCCCACTAACACCTAATACCTTCACTTGTTGTTGTGGTTAAGTGCTGTGAAGTTGGTTTTGACTCAGTCACCCTGTGCAGGGTTTCCAACGGTAGCTGGTGAGTTTGAACCGCCGACTTTGTAGTTCAAATTGACCTTGTGGTCCAGTGCTTTATCCCACAGCACCACACCAGGACTCAGCACCATCACTAAGACAATCCAACTGATATTAATTTTTTAAATCCTAAGCTTGAGAATGTCCATGTCTCCAGAACTCTGGGTACACCTAGAATCCCAGGAGGACAATTCCAGGAAGCCCTCTTCAAGCTGAAACCTCTCTGAGTTAAAACAGGACAGAATCATTTCACTTGACAAAGAAGGGCTTTTGGTAGAAATAATCCTCCTGCTAGGAGGGCATGGAATTTCTAAATGAAGACACGCTGTTTTCTAATACTATAATTGCTTGAAGGTAACAGAGTAGTGAAGTGGGTTATGAATTGGGCTGCTAGCAGCAAGATCAGCAGGTCACATCTACTAGCTACTCAGCGGGAGAAAAGACTTTTCTTTTATGGGTTTCCACTCCCATAGAGATTTACAGTTTCAGAAATCCTCTACAAGGTTGCTAGGAATCAGAACTGACTTCATGGCACACCACCACCACCAGAGATTACTTAAAGGAGGACTGGTAGCGTAGTGGATTATCAGCTGGGCTGCTAACTGAAAGTTAAGCAATTCAAATCGACCAGTAGCCATGGGCGTAAGATGAGGTTTTCTGCTCCCGTAAAGATTTACAGCCTCGAAAACTACACAGCCTTGCTATGAGTAGCAATCACCCCACTGGCACATCACTACCACCACCATAGAGTACCTGACAAGAAGTATATTTTATATTACATTTAATTTATACGATTACATATAATTTAATAGGAGCCTATTCAAGTTTGTTTGTTTTAAAAGGGGCAGAGAAAACAGCCAATATAAAGAGAATAGTATGACGAAAAGAAAACATGTTAAAGACTAAGATGCTCCTCTCCTGTCAACTGGTTAGCTTCTTTAGAAGCTTTTTACTTACTTTTTTATACTGACAAAGACTAATGAACAGAGAAGGTGCACATTAGAGTCTATGATCTCTAATCCACACTACACTTACCATGAAGGCTACTTTTTGCTGGTTCTGGGGCTGTCTCCAAATGGTGAGAACAATGGCAATGCAGAGAACAAGCAGCACCATGAGGAGAGCCAGGCTCCAGGCCTCCAGCCTGGCAATGGCGTCAACTCCATAGGTGGTCAGAATACTCAGGCCCAAGACCAGAAACGCTGCAAAGGTAGATGTGTAAAACAAAACAAAACCGCCCGCACACAACTTTTAACTCAAGATTCCTCACTTCAGATCGTCTGTTTTCATGACACATCAAGGTCATTATATATACAAATACTCTTTCATTGGTCCTTTCTTCTTTTTCATTATGGGACGAGATGGCCGATTGCACTGATCTCAGCATCCTGCTCACTGGCTCATGACTGTCTCTCCTTAGACACAACTGCCATCCAAGCCCTCCTTTGCTACTGTCCTTACACTCTACCATCACTGGGACTGGTGGGATGTTGTCAAGTGTGGTGAATTCTCATTCTCAAATGGGAACTGGCAAGTCTATTATATGCTGCTATAAACACTGGTTGTTAATGCAAACCAATCATCTTTTATGATATGATCTGCATCTTTTCTCCCTGTTTCAGAGAATGGCATCACCATCCTTATCTCTGGCCATTAGGTGCCCTTCCTGTGTGCTCAGAGAACCCTGTAGCTCTTTTCACTTGCCACAACCATGTTCCATACTATGTGGTGAACCCCAGTGAGAGCAAGGCCATCTTGCTCTTGATATCCCAAGTGTCCAGCAGAGTTCCAGACACAAAATGATGTCCAAAAAGGTCAATGAAAATATGAATGGGGTTGCAAATCAGGAGTTTTTACACTGCCACCCAATCTCACTGGCTTCTCAGCTATATTACTGGTATGTGTTGTTAGGCTGATATTTTCACATCCAACAGCTAATTAAATTTATCTGCTTTGTATTTTCCCTACTCTCAGCTACAGGAATTTTCTTTCTTTCAAATCTTCAATTATCAAGCTGTGATATAGCCATCCTTCTAAAATAAAGATGATCTCAACAGTTAGTGATATTTTGAGTGGAAATGTTGGGGCTCAGGTTAGTCACTGTTTTAAGGATTGAATTGTGTCTCCCTTCAAAATACGTGTTGGAATCCTAACCCTTGCACCTATGGATGTAATCCTGTTTGGAAATAGGGTTTCCTTTGTTACCTATCAGTGCATGGTGTATCCTAAACCTACTCAATTCTGAGTTATAAGGCTCAGCATAGAGTCAGAGACAGGAAGTGTAAATGGGGAAGATGTCACGTGAGGAACACTGAGCTTACAAGAGCTGAGACAGACAAGGATCTTCCCCACCCAGAGCAGACCAAGAGCGAGCTTCTCCTAAAGTTGGTGCTCTGAATTTGGATGTCTAGATGCCTCTTAAAAACAATGAGAAAATAAATTTCTATTCTTTAGGGTCTCCCACTTGTGGTATTTCTGTCACAGCAGCACTAGTTAAACAAAGGCAGTCACTAACACACTGTAAGGCCTTTCGTCTTCGTTCACCTCATACCTGTTCTACCTACACACATCATCAGCTGGGTCTTTATAATGTATGCAATGAAGAGGACTTACCCAGGAATCCCACCAGAAAGCTCACGAGGGAAGCTGACATCTGTGTAGGCAGGGTGGAGGGGTTGATGAGGACACGCAGGCTGAAGCCCTGGTCCTGCAGCATGGTGACCTGGGAGTCGCTCTTGGAGGCTGGGCTGGTACATGATTGTAGAACCTCTTTCTCAGGAGAATACTTTGGCTGCTCATAAGATAAGCCAGGCTGGTACCTATTTGCCAAATAAAATAATCTGTTTTTACTTTGAAATCAACACTTGGCCAAAATAAAATGAGCACCTGGTAAGCAAATACTCTAAAACACAGATGAGGTGTTTAGGGGGCTCTGAGACTACTTTAACGGGAATGGAACTAGAAGTAATGAGAATCTGAAAAATGTAACCAATGTCACCTAACTGTATGTGTAGAAACAGCTCAATGGGCACCAGTTTTGTTGTGTACCATGTCCACAGAAAACACAATAAATAAGTAACCCAAAAATGCCAAAAAAAAAGAAGCGAAACCTAAAATTCCAAACAAGACACATCAGAGAATCATAGCTTGTGCAGAAGATCACGCACAAGGAGGCTTCAAAAACTTCGTGGAAAAATTCCATTCTCTTTTCATTCCAACTTTCTGAAGGCCCGTCATACGGCCTGCCCTAGCCCCTGAGTGTCCCGGAGCCTGCCACAGACCTTTTCAATAAAATACCTGTAGCAACTCTGAACTTCCTGAGAGTCACTACATTAGGAGGTCCATGTTAGATACAGAAGACAGCTAAATCTTACAGTGAAACAGTCAAGATTAATTTGAAAATATCCAGGACCTGTGGTTAGCTAAAACAATAGTCAGAAACGCTGGTTAAACATCAGCTACAGAATAAAGTAAAGCCCTTTTAATTTAGTATTCAAAAGCCTCCTCACAATTAGCCTCTCAGGCTTCATCTCCTCAACTTTCCTACCTAAACCTTATATTTAACCCCAGATAGGCAGGTCTAGGCATTCTCACACCACCCCAACTTCCCTCTCCTCCCCACCCTATGTACAGCCTTTTCCTTTGTGAGTCCATCCTCATCCTTCATAGGCGATGTCAAAATATCAACCTGGGTACCTCCGAGACTGCCCCCAGCACTCCCAGGGTGGCCTCTTCCTCCCCTGAGCTCCCTTTACTTATTTTTGGAACCAACATTTTCCTCCATATAAAGAAGAAATACGCTCACTGGAGAAAAATACACAAAAGCATAAAGAAAATTAAAATTACCCATAATGCCATCTATCCAGAGTTAACCACTATTAGCATTTGGTACAATTCCATCTAGACCTAAGTACATGTAAATGTGTGTGTACACCCACGCTTACACACACACACACACACGAAGTCCTGGTAGAGCAAAGGTTAGCTGTTCAGCTGTTTACCAAAAGGTCAGAGGTTGAAACCAACTGCAGCTCCACAGGAGAAAAGACCTGGTGATGTGCGTCCATAGATTTCAGCCTAAGCAATCCTATGGGGCATTTCTACTCTGTCATTGTTGTTAAGTGCTGTCGAGTTAGTACTGACTCACAGAGACCTTATGTACAACAGAACGAAACACTGCCCAGTGCTGCGCCAACCTTACAATCACTGCTATGCTTGAACACATTTCATTGGGGTCTTCCTCTTTTTCACTGACCTTCCACTTTACTAAGCATGATGTCCTTTCTCCAGGGTCTGGTCCCTCCTGATAATATGTGCAAATATGAGAGACAAAGTCTGGCCATCCTGACTTCCAAGGAGCATTCTGGCTCTACTTCTAACAACACAGATTTGTTTGTTTTTTTTGGTAGTCCATGGTATTTTCAATATTCTCCTCCAATACCATCAGAATCAATTTAATACTACACAGTAACAACAATACGTATCCACATACACAATACATATGTATGCATATACTGTCATCCCTCAGTATCTGGGGGTTTGGTTCCAGGACCCCCAACAGATATCAAAATCTGAAGATGCTCAAGTTCCTTATATGTGTTTGCATGTAACCTACACACATCTGCTTGTATACTTTCAATCATCTCTGTATTACATGCAATGTTTAACACAATGCAAGCACGATGCAAATAGTACTTTCTGCTCCCTTTTACACTTTGAGGAAATGTTTTGACCACTCAACTGCATTCCACAGAAACAAAGGGTGCATACAACACAAGTAGCGAGCTAACAAGGTGTGAGGCAAACGATGCTAAAGGAGGGCTGAAGGGAGACTGCAGATCTGTGAAAGGGCAAGAGGTTACAGCAGGGTAGTCCTATACATCACTGCATCACGTGGATTCAGTGTAGTACTCAGCATGCAGCAAATGAAAGTTTTACTTTCTGGAATTTTTTTTCTTTCCAAATATTTTCAATCCATGGTTGGCTGAAACCCTGAATGTAGAACCACAGATACGGCAGGATGACTGTATGCTTTAAATAAATTCAAATGCTATATATAGCAAATGAGACACTTCCCCATGCAATTTAATAGCAGTTTATATGTTATATAATAAACCATTGAACAAATGAATCCTCATTTATTTAGTTTGTTTACTATTATAAATTATTTTTCCATATGTATCCTTTATATCTTTCTGGGTGTGACTCTTTGATTAAAGCTTCAGGATAAAATTTCAGCAGTTCAATTTTTTTGGACAAAACGTATGAGTATTTTAAAGTGTCTTTATACATCATGACAATACGTCTTCTAGATAAGACTGGCCGACCTACATCACTCATTATCAGACTGTATCTGATTCTTTGGTAAGGACCGAGTATGTCTGCTCATAGACTCTCAATTCAGTGAGATTGTTAGCTGCTTGAAGTGAGGGTTGTGAGTCCCAGTTTTCTATACTCCCTATGTGCCACAGGACATACACGCTTCAGAACCACCTGGCAACAAGGACAACTCACCGGAGGATGAGGACACAGGCTGCAACCAGAGAGTAGGCCAGGAGAGTGCCAATGGACATCATGTCCACAAGAGCCTTCAGGTCAAACAGAAAGGCCATCACAGCTATTAGGAACAGAAAAGGAAGATGAAGAAAGAGGCCTAAGGTCAAACTCCACACAGTGAATACCTTTCAAGTTAGGGACTGATGACTAACTTTATTATTATTTTTTAGTATCAATGATGGGACAAAGTGTAAAAAATATATTTCTCAAAGTAAGATGTCCTTTAGGTCATATAAAATGCTAATAAAACTTCAAGCACCCTCAACCATCTATCAAGTACAAAACACTTCTACTTTGACCACTTAAAAAGTATTTGATGTAACAAAGAATAAACATATTACATGACAGCTCACTGACATTTGATACTTCAGAAAAAACATTGCTAGGAGATATTAGGTAGTTCTTTTTTTAACTATAAAAATTTCTAGCAGGAGAACATTTATTAAAATATATAATCACTTAAATTTTTGTCTGCATTTTAAACTATATGCAAAATAATTTTCAATTAAATTATGTTTGTGATATAGGCTACATTCTACTGGGATTTTAACCATGCACTCTAGGTAGACCCAATAATGTTAAAAGGCAAAATATAATTTATATAGATGAATAGTTAACTCATACTTGAAAGCTTATCTCTCCAGTGTTACATAAAAATTGTGTAAGTATCAGTTTGAATTTACCACATAGCAATGCTGTCTATGAGAGTAGATGATACTATATCATATGTATACAGTGTTTCAGACCTCTCAGTAAACTTTATATGTCCATGTTCTCACGCTATGTTCAACTTGAGAATTCCATGATAATCAAGTTGAAAATAAAATTATCAAATTTTCAAGTTGATAACCCCAGAGGGATTATTTAGGTTCAGCCATATGAAATGACTGTAATTCAACTGTTTTTTTACAAAACAAAACAAAACTCTAGCACTTTCCCATGGATTGACCTAATAGGCTCATTATCCTCATTTTATACATAGGCTACGTTAGCAAGGTTACTAAAACCAACATCCCCAAGCACCTGCTACAATATCACATTGTTTCTTTAAATACACCACATACATTACTTTGTAAGCTTTTCATTGCTAGTGGAATGTACATTAGATTAGTATATTTTCAATATGTTTTGTGAGATTGATAGACAGCCATAAGATGCATCAAAATAGAGGAAATGATTATTAGACATACAAGCACTCTGATTTAAAAAAAAAAAAAAAGCAGAGTGATGTCTGAGGTACAATACAAAATAACAAAAATGTATTTTTTAAGGCATTTAAAAAAAAGTTTTCTATTATAATTATCTTATTTAATTAATTTCTTCTGAACAGAAGAGGATACGGTTTTTAAAAATTCTGAATACAAAGTAGAGCATTACTGGACAAGTTCGTTATTAAAAAAATACAAAAGCTTTTATGGAGTAAATAAAAAATGTAATCTTTTGTCGAGAAACATTCATAAATTATTTTCAATATTAGAAAGCACTGTTTAATAAAATTGGACATAAATCATCTAATGTAGCCTACTTTTCATGGGGATGGAAATGTAAGCCTTGAGAAATAAAGTGACTTGTCTATCCATCTACATCTAATAAAGTGCCAAGTTTATTAGAAAATCATTACAAAATTAGGCTGTTTAGGCAATCACTTTCTGATCATGGAAAAAAAAATTCAACTTTATACACAATTTAATTAAATGATCTATTCTCTAATCTAGTTTCCTAACAATTGAAAGCCCTGACAAAATTATCATTTTGGTATGAATTTCTACTACCAACATGATTTTATTTATGTTTGATGAAGTCCTTCTCTTCCTTCCTTCCTCCAGCAGTACCTTTGTGCCATTTTCTCTATCCTATGGAATCTTTGAAAATTTCAGCACAGAATAAGACTCTGGACAAAGGCATTTGTACATGTAATTATGACATGCCAAGAGGTAGGTATATGAATTTTCTGAACATAATTTAGCACAAAAACAGTTGAAAGGAAAAAGAGATTCACAATGGGGTTTGAGAGGACATGTGTGCTTTTGACAAGGTTATGACTGAATCATAAACCATGATGTTCCAGGAAGTGGGGATGCCCACTACTGAGGGCAGTGATTACAACGACCAAGTATAAATTGTCTTTGGCATTTCTCATACTTAAGAATGAGCAAAGTTGAGGGTTTTTGGTTGTTTTCATAAAGTTGGGTTTTTAAAAATGTTCGATGGCTTTTATAGCAAGCCCTTATATCTTGAACAAAAAGGAAAACATTAAATCATTATTTTGAATTAACATTTCAAAAATTAAGTAATTATTCCTCAATTAAGATTTTACATGCTAAGAATACAATTTTATGCATCACACCACCAATTGATAGATAATGAATTTGATACCTAATAATGAGAAACCATTACAATCCTTTGCACATTTGCTAGAATCCCCAATTTTTTAAGCAATGAAAACATCCCAAGATGAGAATGAATTTCAATATACCACTGGCACCATGATTTCCAGCTGTCACCCAACGCTCAGACCCTAATTCATCAGTGATTTTATTCTTAACTTACATGCACAGCAAGCAGGCCCTCTGTTTCTAAGTCCATGCACGAGCACACACTGTTCAAGTCCAATGTTGAAGAGGCCTATGTTTGTTAAGCTTACCAGAAATGACCCCTGCTGTCAACGTGGCAGCAACTGGTGACTGCCTTTTACTCACTCTGGCAAGAAATCTAAAGAGTAAACCATCCCGTGCCATGGCAAACAGAATTCGGGGTAAAGGGAACATAGAGCCCAGAAGACTAGAACAGAAAAATTCATAATCCACATGTGAGATATTATTAGTATTCTAGAAAGGTATACACAGGTAAAGACAGGATACACTAAAGTACAGAACCTACTGCCAAAAAAATTCAAAACAGAAAACATTCACAAATTTATTGACATCTATGTAAATAACTGACAACCACCTTACTTTCTATTTTCCATAATCGTTTAATGGAAACAATCCCCCTTTTCTTATAAAAGCCAACTGTCTCTCACCTGCCACTGCACCTGATGATAAAGTAGCAATTACTGGTGTCTTCGTTTTGGAATTGATTTGAGCTAGACATTTGAAAAGCAACCCATCCTCCGCCATAGCATAGATTACACGAGGCATTGGGAAAATGGATCCAAGAAGACTGAATAAAAAGCAAACACATGCAGTATGGCAAACACATTCATGCAAGATTATGTTCAAGAATTTAAATAATTGTATAAAACTCAGCAAGACAGCTGTAATTATGAAGCTGTAATTATAAAAAATGCATTATGATTGGGTAATTAAATCTATTTTCCAATATTTACATGATGCTATTTACTATTCTTTTGAAGATATTTATTCAGCAAAATTATCAGGTTAAAAACAATATTGTAAGTAATTTGTACATTTTCATGATTACTGAATTAAAACCAATTAATTATAGCTTTACCCCCTAAAATACTAAACTTATCATTAAGAAATTATTAGCAGCAGTATCTCAAAAATATAATTAAGTTGATATTTAGATGAAAAAAATTATTTCATGAATAACCAACTCATTTATTCAATAATTATGTATTTTGTGTACCTATTTTACCATTATTTTTTCTCATATAGCCTGATCATTGATCAAATTATTAATAATTACCAACATCCTAAGATAATCAGGTGGAGAAAAGGTAAAACAAAACAAAACAAAAAAATGTAAATTTAGTTCTTAGAAGTGGCTATAATTAAAAGTAACAGTGAAGTTTAGCCAGATGATTTTTGCTTTGAATTACTGGTATGTTTAGCAATTCCAGATATGACTTAGAAAAAAGAAGAGAAATATTGCATTTTTTAAAAACCCATCATCTTTCTTTACCTTTCAATAAATCTAGGTTAGCGCTTGGCCATGGATGAATCTTTGTGTACCTCTTCTAAAACCGTAGTGGAATGGTATCTTCATAGTTGAGAATTTTGAAATTATTTGAAACTATTAGAAACCTCACACTAGAAGATGGCTATTTTTAAAACATACAAAAGCAATTCTCTAGATATTGACAAAGTCAAAACTAAGGTAAGTTTTTAATTATTACTTGTTTATATTAAGTTGCTATATCATATTTTAATGGAAATAACTATTTTTAGCATTTATAACTTAATATTTTTAATAGAACACAAAACAGGGATTTAAGTAAAATAAAGCTGCATTGATAAATTATATAAACACTCTTTTACATAAATCTTTCAGTGTAAAATATTAGTGATCAGGCAGAGATTCATCTTCTCTATCAGTATGCACTGACATATAGCATTATCTGCAACTACAATGAAATGTTTTACTTATGACCATTATGGTAATTTGAAATAGGATTAGCTTAGGACACATGATACAAGCAGCATCTAAGCATCTGAACACTTGAGAGTTGATTACCCTTCTCTTTTCCCACAGATATTACATGATGTTCAGCCTGAAGTTGAAAGTTGCAATGTCTATTTCTAGACCAAATTCACTCTAATCAGTGCTAAGAAGGAAAGTCTCAGTGTTTCACAATAAAAATATAAGAAAGCCAAAGTGCATCATTTCCACTTACACAGACCGAATATTACTATAAAAGACAGCAGCAAATGTCAAGTCTGCACAAAAGGTCTCCATTTTAACACCAAAGCCAACAGACAACATTCTATCTATAAGCATTTTTTTTAATGTCTCAATAAATTATATTGCCATTTACTAATGGTTATTTGGAGTCCTATGGCGCTGTGAGCTAATGTGTCCGGCTGCAAAGTTGTTTGAACTGCAAGGTCAGTGGTTCAAGCTCACCAGCCACTCCTTAGAAACCCTATACAGGGTTGCTATGGGTCGGAATCGACTCGACAGCACTTATCAACAACAACAATGGTTATTTAAAATTATTCAAACTATCTCATCCTCAAATTTTTATAATATACACATACAAAAATAGGGAGTAAAATGTATATGTGTGTGCAAATGCCACAGATATTTCCACAGACACTACAACCATTATTTTACTAAAAAACTGATTTGATAACTGATTCAGAGACAGGAGGGAAAGTTAGCACTTAAAGTCTGTATACAGCAATTATGGGCAAGCTATTCAGAGAATGTATTATTTTTGTATTTGTTCCTTATATTATTGTTGCTAAGTCACATCAAGTCGGTTCTGACACATAGCAAAATTATATAGGAGCAGCTTGTGGATTTGAACTGCCAATCTAGCAGTTAGCAGTCCAGTGCCTATCCTACACCAGAACATCTGTTTCTTACATTAGGATATTTTTAAAACATATAAAAGCATTTCTCTAGATATTGACAAGGCTTTATAATAACCCAAACATTTCTGTCCAATTGACAATGCAACATACCTTGTTGACAATGCACAGAGGGAACCCGCTGCAACAACATATTTGGCAGGACCCCAGCCCACATATTCAAATGCTACAGGAAGGGGGCTTTTTTCATCGAGGAGGTAGTATGGCATCATAAGTGTTAAAGCTGCAGAGACCCCAAAATAGGCCATAAAGCAAACAAGCAAAGAAGTCACAATTCCAATAGGTATAGCTTTCTGGGGATTCCGGACTTCTTCACCTAAAGAAAAATAAACAATAGATGAGCATATTTAATAAAGCATGAACTTGTTGTTCTTGTTAAGTGCCTTTGATCTGGTTCTGACCCATAGCAACCCTGAATAGGATTTCCGAGGAGCGTCTGGCAAGGTTGGACCGCCGACCTTGCAGTTCAAACCAACTTTGCAGCGCAGAGCCTTAACCCACAGCACAATAGGACTTCAAAGCATGAACAGGTATAGTATTCATTTCATAGCAAATTCTTCCTCTCCTCATTGGTAGAGGTCTATTCTGCTTTTTATACCCTTCTCTTTTATTTAGCTTAATTCACCTATTCTATGAGAATGAGTCAAAAACTATCCTCACTCTAGCTGTAGAATTTAACCAACTTTTAGAAAAGATAATACATCATTTTTTGACATAATCTCCTGGCTTTTCAATAAGCTCTGTCCATCTGTCAACAAGCTTTTGTATTCCCTTATTAAGAAATGCTGAGCTGGGAGCCACAACAGGACTGCTGTCTCCACTCTTCATCAGAGGTGAATCTTTATCCTCAAAGGGCTGCTTTCAGGGCACCAAATGGGTGAAAGTCGATGGAGCAAGGTCAGGACTATAGGGAGGATGCTTTAACATCTCAAAATGAAGTTTCTGCACAGTGTCAACAGTGTGGACAGTGGTATGTGATGTACACTGTCATGCAAAATCACAACACCCTTGGAAAACAGTACTCAGCATTTAATCAAAAATTTAGACACATCTCACTGCAAAGAGCACTGTTGATTGTTGAACAATATTTTTTCCAGACAGTATTTCAATATTGGTTCTTGAGAATCCTGGAAAACTGTAAGCATCAATTTTCCAACTGATGATTGACTTTTGAACTTTTTCTTGGTCAGCGATTGAGGATGTTTCCATTCTATATTCTGCCGTTTACTCTCAGGCTCCTAGTGATCAATCCACACCTCATCACCAGTAGCCATTTTTGTTTACAGAAACATTTACCTTCCTTTGAGTGCCAGTCCATATTTTGTTTGCAGATGTCTTAACGTTTCTGCTGTTTATGCTCTTCCATGAGTTGTTTGGGTACCCATCTCCCACACAATTTTGGAAACCCTAGTCTGTCGTGGATTATTACATAGGCAGAGTCATGGTTGAGTTTCAAATGATTAGCCACATAATCCACTGTCATTTGTCTATTCAACAGAATCATTTCATGTGCGTTCAATGTTGTCCACAGCCATGATGTTAACAGGCATTTTAATAGAACTGGAGTGCGGATCATTTTTGACTCACCCTCCTACATGAAAATTTCCTGTCTTCTTAAAGCAAACTTTGCTATGGCATTAAAAAAAAAAAAATTAAAAAAATCCAATGTCCAGAGGAAAAGAAGATAGGAAAATGTCATGCAAGGCAGTTTCCTGTCTCCAGCACAAAAAGCCTTGGTGCAGTACTATTAAATATTTGGGATCAAATAGCAGCCTTTATGCAAAGGGAGAATGATTTCTCCACTGCCATGGCACTCCGGAGGCCCTTAAATATGGAGGCCCTTAAATATGCAGGCTTCAATAAACTTCTACCCAGTGCATCTATTCATATGAAACTGTAGTCTCAGTTAAAAAAAAGAAAAGTATACTTTGGATCTTTTAATAGGATGCGACACTTGAAGTAGCCAAAAGATGGGCAAGTATAAGCCATGCGATGATATGAAACCAGAAGGAACATTTAGAGTGATTCTGACAATTATTTTACAACATAGGATAAAAAGAAAATAATTCATACAACAAATTTTGTCCTACAATGGTGACTATTTAAATTAGGATATTATTTGTTTCTCAGCATGACAACACTTTCAGAGAAACTTAAGGCTAATAATAACCATTGGATAATGTATTGGACCACAAAATCAGTTTGAACTGCAAGGTTGGCAATTCAAATTCACCAGCCACTCCTCAGAAACGCTATACAGGGTCACTGTGAGTCAGAACTGACTCTTGGAAAAGTTCCATTTTCCCTTGATTCTATTTCTCCACAAACTTTTTGAAGGCCCCTTGTATGATCTAAGATAAGCTTTACAAGATCTGACAAGTTGAACTATTCTTCCAATTTTTACCTATAAGGAAACCATGGCTCAGAGTGTTTCACTATGTTTCTTTTTGTCATATATAACAAATGTTATAGCTGACTTGGAAACAGCCTTTCTTATCCTAAATCCCATTTTCTTTCCTCAACCCTCTGCTTTGCCCATGGGTACTAGTGAGGAAAAGGAACACCTTCCCCTGATTCACAGAGCCAAGAATCTGCTCTTACCAGTTGTTGCAATGCAATCAAATCCCACAAATGCATAAAAGCATGTGGCAGCACCAGCCAGAGTTCCTGCAAAGCCATAAGGCATAAAGCCACCGGCCCCATAGATACTTGTTCCATTTTCAGCAGGCGGCTCTCTAAGACAGGGAACAAACACACCAATAAATTATTTTCCAGAAAACAGCTTCTCCTAGAAATACATTTCACAATGGTCTCTTGAAAAGTTGTTGTATTTCTCAGCTCTTTGAAATTGTTACTTTAAGCTACCCAACTTTGTGATCATTTCTTCTGGCAACTCCAAGAAACAAAAATAATACATATGCATTTATGTTTGGGAAGAGCCTGGGAAGAGTTCTCAGAAAGGTCTTAGAAGTAGAAAGTTTGAGAGCACTGCTCTAAGAGGAAAACTTGCTCATATGTGCTCTTAAAATACAACAGCAAACAAAAAGTTGGCAAATATAAAAAACTATAAATCAAAACAAGAGGACTTATTTTATACCTGGCACTTGCTGATATGTTTTTGAGAAACTCTTCACTAATTTTCCAGTTTGCCACATTTCCTTTCACAAACCCAGCAACCATAACAAAAAGAAGGACCAGGATATTTATAGCTGTGAAGACTTTATTCACCCAAGCAGACTCTTTGACTCCAAAAGATAAAAGACCTATGGAGGGGAGAAAAAAAAGGGCATTCTAAATTTCACGTTAAGTATTAGGAACAAACCCAAACCTGTTATGTCAATTCCTACTCATAGGTACACTATAGGAGAATGTAGAAGTGTCCCTTAGCGTTTCCAAGGCCTGTGATCTTTGCTGACTTCTACCTCTTTCTCCCATGCAGTGACTTGTGGGTTCAAACCATCAGCCTTCTGGTTACCGATAAGCATCTATCCACTGTGTTACCAGGGCTCCCTAGTTTTATGAAAGGTATTTTAAGCTGAAGGATATGATTTCACCAGCCTTTCCTGTATTTCACTTGCATTATTGTCACCTTATTGTGAAACAATGTCTTCTGAATACACCAGTTTGATTTCATGAGTCAGATGGTGTTCACAATTGGGAGACAACACACACTTGAATAAATATAGAAATTTAGTAATTTTGGAATCCTGCTTTAGCACTGTAGGATAAAGCCATGGAACAAAAGGTCAGTTTGAACTACAAGGTTGGCAGTTCAAACTCACCAGCTGTTCCTTAGAAACCCTATTTAGGGTCTCTATGAGTGAGAACCAACACGAAGGGGCTTAGCAACAAAAACAATTTTGGCTATTATTACCAGGGAGTGGACAAAGGCAAAGTAATACTTAATTTCAATGAAATGCTTTTAAAAAAAGCTTTTTCAAGATTAATGATTGCTAAACTTTTTTTTTTCCCTCCTCTGCCCTGTTTTTTTTATTGATAGTTTACACGGGAGGACATT